GGGGCTGTGGCAGGCAGGTGGCAGCACCAGGGTGGCCAGTGTGGGCTGGCAGCATCTGGGCCAGTGTGTGGAGCAGCTCCGTTTGTGTTTAAAGCGGCTGGGAAATTTCTCAAGACCCATTTCAGTAGAATTTTCAGCTTGTGTTTTTTAACCTCCTTCCCATAGTCCGCTAAAAGTTCCTTAAATAGTCCATATACATCCTGTTCTAAATTGGACAGCCTTAGAGCCTTAGTCCCATCCTATGAAACTGAGACTGGGGGGGATGTGCCCTCCCTGTTGGGGTAGATGAGATGGGAAGGTGTCCCTTTTCTCTGCTCACCTGTGTTCCGTGCAGGGGTCCTCAGAGACGGCTGGTTGTCCTCTGATGGGTGCTTGCTTCTGTGTCAGGCCTAACCATTTATTCCAGAGTAGGGTCCTATTGGTTTACTAAGATCCAACGAAACTGAGTCCCCTAGAGGTCTTCTCAATATAAGAAGTCCCTGTTCAGGGCGCCATGTGTTGCAGTTGGGTTCTGAAACCTCTCTCCCAGTTCAGCTGGGTCAAGTGTGGCAGAATAATTTGCGAAGGGTACGATGGAGTGCCCAAAGATAGATTTTAATGTTCACAGAGATGTCATGGTCCGAGGGGCTGCTTCCAAAGCATTCACAATGTATAGGGGTACTTGAGGGCAGAGGTCCAATCGCAAATGTGGACCAGGGACATGACCTATTATGGAATGACTCCATCAGCATCCCTCCAGGACCCTGCCTCCCAAGGCCTCAGGTTTATTCCCTCTGTGTCAGGAGCCCAGTCCAAGGTACTATTATTCCCAGCTAATTCAGTTCCTACAGGGAGGTGTGAGAAACAGAAAAGATCATGACTCTGTGCAAGCTCTGCACCTCTGTATTACAGATGCTGTGTAGAGCACAAATCCAAAACAAGGACCCATATCATCCACTTTGAAGAAAACTAGTTTTGTCCAGTCAAACCAGCAAAGTATGCTTCATTTTAGATCAGGAAGCAAAGATCACTCAGTCAATGATATTTGAAATATCTGTAGAAATAATAAAATAAATGTTTAATAACTCTTTAAGTATTTAAGCAACTCTGTTACAAGCTTGATTACACAGGAATCAGTAAAACTCAGCTTGGGAAATGCCTTAAATTATCCTTTTGCTTTGAATATCTGTCACTGTATTTAGTGAAATGCTGGAATTAGAATGGACTGCTTCCAATACAAAATGTTTTCTTCAATAAAATCATTAAAATCCATTCACACATTTGCATGTCTCATAGCATATGCTTTTCATTGCAGCTGTGCCAATTAATAGTTTGGGGTATTTCTTTGTCTACTCAGGCTTGCTTTTGTATATAGGTCTAGTTCTGAACCTTGTTTTAAAAAAGGTACCAAACTATTTTGTGCCTCAAGTTGCAATGGACACTTTACAATTGGAAAGTGACTCTTCCAAGGAGAGACTTGACTTTGAAGGGCTGTGCAGTCTGCTGGAAACTATTACCATTGCAGTTTCATGGCAACACTGAGGTAACAGGTAACACCTGAGGGATGCGCTGCATACTCAATCCCAGGCATATTCATGAGAGATTTCATCCTCTTGGATTGTTTGCCTTCCCAAACCCAGCTTGATGTCCATTGATATCAAAGGCATCTTCATTTCACTGACATAGTTACATCACTGTGGCAGCAAAAAATTACTGTCACTGGAGGATGCACACCAAGCACAGGCTTGGATACTTCGTTCTATGCAGAGCTGTATCTTGTGTTTTCAGGCTGTTCGCTCCAGCAGAATCTCTCTGGCAGAAGTGTTTACTAAGGCCCAAAGAAGCAAACAATGAAATTAACCCCAGTTTCTGCTTTGCTGTTGTTGTTGTAGCTGGCCAATATAAATCTGGTAGCATCACATAGAGTAGCAGAGCTACAGAATAAAGAGCTGTTCTTTGGTCCTACTTCATGACCATATTATTGACACAGCATCACGTTTCAGTGTTTGGCAATGGGAATATCGACAACAGGTGCATGTCTTTTAGTCTGAGAAATGAGAGACTGGGCATCATGGACAACAACTTGGTCATCATTTTGCTTTATTTGCTTGCTGATTCTGTATTCTGTAAAAGCTGAACAGTCTCTGCCAGCTGACTGTCCCTGAAACTCACTGAAGTCCTGAAAGCTGGCATCAACTACTACCATGAACAGAGTTGCAAGCTGCATGATGCTTATACTGTTAACTATTCTGATGACTGTAGCTCAAAAAATCCCAGATGTTCACTGTCATAGGAATCTCACCACCATCAGCTGAAGGCCTTAAAAAAATTACTTACTTAGGACAGTGGTACTGCTGTCAAAACCTGGCAGTGTAATCACACAGTAATGAAAGGCTTATGGAAATAGAATTTTTTTTCTGGAAATGAATGATTGAAAAATAGATGAGGTTTTATTTGTCGAGTTTTCTTTTGGGTTGGTTTTTTAGTTTGTTTGTGTTTGGTTTTGTTTGGGGTTTTTTGGTGGGGTTTTGTGGGTTTTTTATTGTTTGGGTTTGGTTTTGGTTTTTTTTGTTGTTGCTTTTTTTTAGGTTTTTTTCCTTTTAATTTGGGTATAGAACAATTTTCTATTACAAGAGGTCTGGACAAAACATATCTGGGTGACCCTGCCTCAGTTTCCCTTTATTTGCTTTCCTCATTGAATCCCGTTTGCTTTCTTGCTTTATTGACTTTCCTTCCTGCTTGGTCAAATGACAGCCTATTATTTATCTAAACAGACTCATGTATTTATCTGTGTCTCAGTTGGAGTATGTTGTAAAGGAAGAGGCCTTCTCTAACTTTTCCGTTCCTTTTCTTCTGTCCCCTTTCCTACTAGCCTTTTATGTCAAATTGTAAGTTCTAACTCCTGGTGTGTTTGTCTCCCTGTTTCTCAGTACCATTCACTCTCTTATTCAAGTTTGAAATTTTATATTACTAAGACACAAGTGTGAGTGGCAGAGAAGGTAATTTAGCCCAAAGCACAGTGCTAAGTCCCTTTCTTTTACTGGAGGCTGTGAGATGGGAGTGTGTAGAGTATCTCCCATGAATCGGGGTTGCATGCACCTGACACAGTGTGCCTGTGTCTTAGGGACCCTCATACTAGTCAGAGACAACTCCCTGACTAGTACACTCACATGTAAATGTGTGAGTAAACTCACACATTTAGTGGTTATGCCAAAAGAATCTTGCCCTGCTCTTCTTCTCTGTCTTCCCTGAAGGCAGTTTGAAGTGATCAAGGAATGCAGAAACATCCCCAAAAAGCAACCTCCCTAAGGATATCCCAGGGTTTGATTTGCTATTTTTACCTTTATTATCAAAATTATAATTTCAAACATCTGTGATATGCTTTTTGCAGTGCTTAACAATAAATCATTTGGATACTGACAGTACTTAGGATGTTACACTAAAGAAATTAAGGTGCTGAAATATCAGATTTACAGAGGCTTCTTAATAATTTGGGCTAACATCCCAGAAAATAGGTCACATGTGAAAAACAAGTCCATTAACATCTTTCCTTATGCCCAACCACAACAGTAACTCCTAAACTTCAGCTGTGTCAGTAATATCAAAGAATAAAATATCAGTGTATGGAAACTGTAGCTAAATAATGTTTTTTATATATTTATTACTCTTGAGATACTCAGGATTCGCATACTATGACCTGGAGAAAATTGCTACTCTCACAAGATGCAAAATGTTCTTTTGTATTTGCTTATGTATCCATTTATGAAAGAAGCAAAGAATGTAATACTCTGTAATACTTTTTTGATTCAAATTATAACACTTGTTTTGAAGAGATGGATGTCTGCACCCTGAGCAATGATTGCTTGCATACCCTTTATATTTTACTGGAATCAATGAACACTGAACTTCCCAAGCATTCAAATGATATGGGAGGTCCTTTAGTGCATGCAAGCACTTAAAATGAACCTCAAATTTAATCACAGTCTTTTGCAACATCACACCTCTCTTTTCAGCATTTACGTTTGAAAAGTCAAGGTTTTTCAGTGCTAAGCTTTCCAGATTTCTCTTGGTTTGCTTTGTTTTATTTGAGGCAGGGACACAAAATCCTTGAGCTTCCTTGAAAAGCCATGAGCTATCAGATTTTTAGCATCCTCCTTGAGTAATGACAGCACTGAAACAGCAATTGACAAATCCCTTGACATGCAAGGTCTAGTGATTTCCATCAAAGAGACATAGCACTCAGGCACAGCTCCAATCAGTTTGTTCTTGGTTGACTGGTTTTAATTTGTTTCTGGAGGACCTTGCTGATATTTAGGCTTTTGTTTTTAAAGTATATTTTTGTGCATTTAGATGCTATTACATTGATTAGAAAGAACAGACTAAAGTGCCAAGATGCACCCACTGTGGCTTGAAAAGTTAGCAAGCAAAAACTCAGTGTTTCAGAGAACTTTGTGATATGGTGTTATACTCCTCTCTCTTCTTTAACAGATGGGGTTAAAGATGGAGTAAGAGAGGCAGAAAAGGCTGAAAGCAGATAAAAAATGGCACCCTAGAGATGTTCAGGAGTTTCCTAAGCAGTGTTAATTGTTTGACCTGCCCTGCAAGCACTGTACAGAAAGGAGGGATGGGCAACAGGGAAGAGGGGGAAATTTTCTGTGGAGCCTGATAAAACCCTGCAAAAAGGTGAGCAGATACATTGATGTAACATGTTGATGTGGCCACAAATCTCTGGTTCCACAGTGATAAGAGTTATTTGTAGTTTAGACAGGAGAGAGGTAACAAACTGGAGGAGCTGAGTGGAGCTGACCCTGACAGCAGGACTGGATCATGTTTGTCTTGACAAAAGACCAACTCCTTTATCGGAGTTGGGTTTGTATATGGTATATGTGTTTGGGTTCATTCTTCTGTTTTCTTTTTTGTTTTTTGTTTTTTCTTTTTCTTCTGTTTTCTTTTTTGTTTTTTGTTTTTTCTTATTTAATTTTTTTTCTTTGCGCTTTTTTGTTTTGCTTTTTGTTTTTGTTTTACCTCATTTTATTTGAAAGGTCATGAAAAGCACATCCTCCCAAAAAATAGAGCTGTCCTACCCAGATATGGAAAGTCCCATATGAATCAGAAGGCAGTGTGGGCTGATGGCACTGCAGTTACTACACATAGGCAACGTGGGATCAAAAACCAGCAAAACCCATTCCACCAAATCACCATTGAACCTTCTCTCAGAGCTACCGCTGAGAGGATTGAGCCTAGGACATGACATTTCCCTACCAAAGTCTTCCTGGTACTGTAGCTGTGGAGCTACAGTTTAGGGGAGAACATGAGAGGACAGGGTATCAGCAAAAAGGTGACATTTGAGCACAGACTTCTGGTCCACATCTGCTTCTTCCGAGGCCTTGTCTCTTTACCATCCCTGTCTCTTCTCCTCTGCTGATACTTCCACATGTCTTCTCTCTTTCAACCTTTGTCCTGAAGTCAAAATGTACTAAATATTGGAAGAATCCTGCCACCCTTGCTCAGTGAAAGAATTTTGGTAGAAAAATTTGCTATGTGGAATTTCACAAACTGACCATCACCTGGGGAAGTGGAGAGGAAAGTGCTGACTTCTTCCTGTCCCACAGGACACATGGAAATGATTCAGAGCTGTGTTGAAACAGAGAAATTAAGATTTAGGAATTAAGCATAAAGAAATGCCTGAACAGAAGAGAGGGGGAGCTGACAAGCGCAAAGAAAGGAGTGAGACTGCAAGATAAGATAAAGAGCTAGAATACACAAACAAGATGCAAAGACAAAGGCACCGCAGGATAAGGGGATTCTTTGGACCCCTAAGCCGGAAAGAACGGTATCAAAGTCCAAAAGGTCGTCAAAGTACTAAAAGGAGCATGGGCGAGAAGGCAAGGTGAAAGTTCAGCCAAGGAGAAAATTGCTGACCTCATCCCAAAGACCCCCAGGTGACCACCGAACTGACCAAAAACCCAGTGCGTAGCTGCAAAGGGGCGTGGAGCTAATTTTAACATGAAGCAAGGACAGGCTGGGTTAGGAAATGAATATGTATTAGGCATATTGCGTAACTGTAGTTTGTAAAGGATTAAAAAGAGAAAGCCAAAGCTCAAAAGTGTGCATGCTTTTCGGAGGAGATATCCCCCATACACCTCAGTGCTGAATAAATTCATACCTACTCTTATAACTACTCTGTGAGTTATAGAGTTTTTCTATCAGCATATCAGTGTCAGGGATGGTTCAGACTTGAAAGGAGAAGGAAGCATTTCTCTTCCACAAGGGAGGCCTAACACTGAAACAGGCTTCCTTGAGAGATGTTTGATGCCCCAAGCCTGTCAGTGTCCCAGAGACATTTGGACAGTGTCTTTAATGTGGCTTTAAGTCATCCCTGAAGGGATCAGGGAGTTGAAATAGATGATAGTTGTAAGTTCCTTTCAAATGAAATATTATATTCTTGTCTAGTCTCTAGTCTCCAATCTCTAATCTCTTTAATCTAATTCAGCAACAGACAATTTGCACAGAGATACTCAGGTAGTTTTTTTTCCCAGGCTTCACCCTGTAGCAGTTGAAGTCAAACGTTAGTGTTTCACCTGGCCATACCTCTTCCTGCTGGAGAAAATCAGGTTGGGTATGAAGAGGGTAAGTGACAAACAAGCATGCTTTGGCTGCTGTGATGGTAAGCAGAAATCAACCAGACAATGACAATTTTGTTCTCACATCACCTTCCTATGCATTTGCTTCTCTCTTTCACACTGCAGGCTGTGGGAGCACAAGTGTTCCTTTACATAGCAGGGGTTGGAGGTGTTGTTAGAACAGATGCAGCCAAAGAGAGCCTTGAATGCCAGTACAAGCAGCAACGAACTGACTTCCTTGTGTGACCATGAGATTTCCCCTATAGGATCTCTCTGGGCATGAAATATATGTTAATGGTGTCCCAAACTCAAGGGAATATGATGGCTGGTTATTATGTAAAGTGCTGCAAAAAGGCTTTGGGAATAAAAAGTTAAATAAATCAGACCAAAAAGAAGTCTCTTCCCTTAAGGTGAGTAATTTGAATAAAAGTGAGGAAAACATAATTTTTCCCATTATCAGCTCTACACAAGGTGGATAATGAGTTTGTTCTGGGCATATACTGGGGTTTTTAATAAAAATTCTCCCAAATAACTCTTTTGGGTTGCTATTCAACTGCAAGAAATACATATGATCACCCTCCTTATTATTAGTATTATACCACCAGCATCACCATCACAATTATCCATCAAAACATCCAATAACTCAATTGTAGAATGTCCCAAAGGATACAACAGAAAAAAAAATTCCAATTTCCAATTATCCTGTTGAAGATAAAATGCTCTCATTATGATCAGGCCTGTTCTGGAACATCTGACAGACTGAACCCTTGTAAGAGATGGTGCCAGATAAACACTGACACAGCTCTCAGGAGCTTTCAAGTGTAAAAGAGGAGGATGGCATGTGGAGAATGGCCAAATCAAATAGATCAAAGCCACACCTTTATCCCAGAACACCCAAGGACCCAGGTAACAGGCCAGTGATTTGGCCAGCTGCAGTGATGCTGGAGTGTGCTGTAGCCTTTTTGCCACCCTCCTTTTCCAAGACGAAGAGTTGAAGAGTTCTTTGCCAGTGGCTCCACTGTGCTTTAACCAGAGAGCAGAAATGGATCTTTCAAGGCACAGCACATTCCTGAAGATCAGTGCTATTACCTGTGGGTTTTGTGATCAATACAGCTCACAAAACAGGATGTTCTAATGTGTGCATGGCTTGTTTCTCCAACCACAAGTTCCTGTCTGGGCTAGAATGCAGTGAGGGAGGCAATACAGTGCCATCTGTGTGCCCTGTCCAGACACACACATGTCCTACCAAGTGCCTTTTCTTGGTGTCTCCCACAGGAAGGAGATCATAGCCTCCTACTAGCTATCTCAGACTTGGTGTCCAGCTGCATACTTGAGAAGTACCTGGTGGTATATTGCTTTCCATGTAAAATGTATGCAGAAACACTGCAGTTTTCCATTGCGGCCCCTATGGAATCATTACTGACACCCTGCATAACCCAGGATGTAATGAGAGTGCAAAACTTCTTTTGCTGCACTGGGCTGCTCCAGGGCCAGGCAGAGCTGTGGGCGCAGGCTAGTGCCTTGGCTGCACAGAGCACAGGAAGGCAGTGAGCTGCAGGTGGCTTCCCTGGCATCCCCTGGCACAGAACACTGGTGTGTCCCCCATTCTCCACCCCACTGACATTGGCACACACACTGGTGCATCCAGCACAAAGGGGCTGGGGGGCTAGGGGTTTGGACAAACCAGCCGTGCCCAGGGACAGGGATGGAGCAAAGGCAGCTGAGCTTGCAGGCTTTTACTGCAGCTTGGTGACCACCAGTTCCTCCTGGAGGAGGCCAAGTCACCTCTCACTCCTTCTCCAGCCCTACGAGGTCCCTCTTCCTGGCTGCAGCACAAACTTCCCACCCACCAACCTTGCCCACCAGTGGCATGCCTTCTGCCGCTATCTGAGGGGATACTCTGATGCCAAAAGAGTTTTGCTTTTTACTTCTTTCTCATCTAGTTTTAGTTTTGTAGGCAAATCTTGTCTAAGTCTCTAGTTTCTTAGCTAACTGCAGTACTTTTCCCACCCTGTTACACAAACACATTCCTGGAATCCTCTTTGAATCTTGCTTCTTCAGTGAACCAAGGCCATTTCACTTTCCCATGCTTGACACAACCAGCAGGGGGCCAGAAGCAAGGTGGAAGCTTCAGTAGGACTCCAAACCAAGACGGGGAATTACTTCATTAGCTGAATTTCTAAATGGGGTTCTTGTCAGTGATGCTCTTTTTCAAAACTCCTACAAGTGCTGAAGCCTTGCATCGCATGTGCATTTGGCTATAAGTAGACCTGGAGAAGTGTCATGACATGGTAAGTGCTTTTGATCAGCTTGATCTCATTTGGTTCTGGGTTTTAGGGGCTAGAAGGCAATGACTCTGCCCATCCCCTGCCAACAGCACCTGCAGAGGACAGCATAGGGCGGGCAAGCCTGTGCCTTGCTACCAGGCAACCTTACTTGAAGGCCTCCATAGCTTGGGGAAAAGCCGCAGCACTTTTGGCCATGATCTGTACACTGCTGCTCCTTTGCATGCCCCTGAATCTGAGCCAAGGCTAACCAAAGAGTCCCAGTGTGCATTTGGATGTCCTATCTCTCCAGAGTGCTGGTGTGCGAGAAATAGAATTGTAGAGGATTCTTAGGGCCTGACTGAAAGCTTGCATACATTTGTATGCAAACTCTGAGATAAGGTGTGCTAAGTTAGCTAGGCCACAGAATAGAGAAGTGCACCAAAGCCGAATTGACTTGAAAAAGGCAATGTATTACAGCTTGCTCTACCTGCACTTCTTCCATACAATTGCAAGTTGTGTTACAAGCTTACTGCACATAGTTATGTCTCTGCTGACTCCATGGCAAGTTACAAAGATCACTACCAGTTCACACCTGGTGACACTGACAGGTCACAAAGTGGCACCTGCACAGATGTATGGAGGGAGAGTGACTAACATCCCTGGCCCTTTCTAAATACCTACAGAGCTGGAAGGAAACTGTCCAATGCGACACAGGTTTACACAGAAATTCATACAGAGATAGAACTGTCCAATGTGAAGCAGATTTACATAGTAATTGAGATAGATAAAAATAATAATCTTCGTTGTGTAAATATATTGACTTCTGTGTAAAAATGGCTGTACACAACCATTTGTATGTGAACCCATGCAAAGCCATTCAGTGACTAAAGTACTCAACTACACCTTCATCCCCCTGTATATAAAGACATAGAACTGTGTAGAGCTCTATCACTCCATACATACTGAGGTAGAACTGGAAACATAACTATAGACAGGCACAATGCTAACCCAGTACAAGGGGTCCTAGGGGTAGGACAAGACACGGAGGGAACGTGGCTGGCCCTTTCCCCCCCACTTCCCTTGGATCACTTGGTTCTGTGCGGAGTGGCCCTTCTGGAATGCTGGGAAGATGGAAACCTGGGAAGCAAAGGGAACACTGAGTCACTTGCAGCCTGCTCTCAGCCCTGCCGTAGCCTCAGCACATCCACAGCCTCCTCAGTCCCTCCAAAGCCTCCTAGCCCATCAGTCCCCCTCAGTGCTGCCATCCCCCTGAGCATCCCCAGCTTCCTGAGCCCTCTCGGCCCGTTCCTCCTCCCCGCCCACCCAGCCTCTGCCGCCATTTCCCTCAGCTCCCCCAGAGCCCTCAGCTCTGCTGCTTGTCCCGAGTCCCCACTGCCTTACCATCCTCTGGGCCCTAGGCACCAGCAGCACCTCAGCAGCAGCACAATGCCTTCAAAGGCGCTCTTCCCCCTGCGGCAGCCCCGGTGCCCTCAGCCTTACTGGCTCCTCAGTGGCTCCCCGGTGCCTTGAGCCCCACAGCCCCTGAGGGGGACGGTGCCCGGTGCCCCCGGCACTTCCCGCCACTCCTGTGA